CCAACATATTACAAAGTAAAATTCAGGATTTCGGTAATAAGCTTGCTGTTCGATGAATTCAAAACTTTGATAGAAAAACTCTGTTTTTACAGTGTCTTATATAATCTTGAAACATATTAGAAACAACCATCTATAGTTTGGAACAATCAATCAATCAGATAATAATGAAATTCACTGGAGAAATATAATTTAAATAATAGTTACCATTGTCTTCTTTTACATGTTATAACTATTATTAATTAACAATAATAATTGAATTAGATAATTTATGAATTTTCTAACAATAAGCCTTTTGTAACTGATAAATCATCAAATCTATAAGTAACAATACAAAATCTTAATGATTTATTTAAAAATATTTTGATAAAAAGAACTGGGTGATGAATTTTAAATCTAAAATATTTCATTCTATCTTTCTATGTAAAAAGAAAAACAAACTATTGGTTATCAATAAGTACCAACAGTTTGCAAGACAAAAAAAAAGAGGAAATAGAAACCCATTTTATATCTATAAATTTGTGGATCGTAAAAGTTACACATGTTTATATACCATTTAACATGAGATATAGACAAACACACACATACGCAGACATACATGCACACACATAAACTTACATACACGGTAGCTTACCAATTGATTGTTTAACTAAACCAGTTCGGACTGTGTAACACTTCATATTTACAAAATTTAATAAGAAAAATTGTAACAATTATTTATTTATTTACTTATTTATTCACAAACCAGATGAAAGACACAGTCAATTAATTCAATTTGGGCCTTAACAAAAAGGAGTCTTTTATTTTCAAAAAAAAAAAAATAACTACATAATAACAAAACAGGAATAAACTTTTGTTTTTGATCATTTATTTGTGACATTGAAAATTTATTATGATTTATATTTTAACCAAAAAAAAAATTGAAGGTAGTTTTAAAATTGTAAACATCTACCAGTAAAAATAACCGATTAAATAATCGACTGACCAATAAGAACATTGATATAATGTGCGTTAAAACTTTATTCAAAATGAACCAATCAAAATCTAGTTAGATTATTGGTTGCACTGAGTGTATTATGGAGTTATATTTATTCTTTTTATTGTAATGTATACAATTGAAAATGCTTACAGGAAATACAATTTCATACCGATAATTACCATGTGCTCACAAGTGACTAGCTGTGTGAGGGAATTTTTGGAGATCGAGAGAGAAACCATGACCAGTGGAGCTAATCCATGTCAGGTAGAAACAGGTATCTACCTCAGACAATGGATGAAGTTAGACAATAATACTGTTGGATATTGGCCGGCTCTGTAGTCTGGAGATTGAAGATTCTTGCGAGCTTGAAGTTACTGAGTTTGGATCATTCGTGAGAAGTCGTGGATGAGCACTGTCGAGGAGTCCCATACTAGGACAAAACGACCGTCCAGTGCTTCCAGGTTTTCAATGGCGGTCTAACATCAATCGATTCATGACCTCAATCAAAAAGAAAACACGAAATTTTGTTATGAAGACAAGCCAATTAGAACCAACATGACTTCAGGGTTTCTTAGCTAAATTTAAAACTGAATGGACTCATACGAATATTCGTCAAGATTAGAACGAATAGTTTGACAGAAATTGGGCGCCGAGTATAGAGAAGTCATTATATGTGAAAATTATATTTGAACTAATCTCAGCGATTGAAATTTAAATAATTCCAACTCATATTATAGAAAATGACCAGTAGAAAAACTTTAGTGTAGTTCTCAATAGCTTGAAAATGATGGCGCATAATTACGTTTTTTCCTTCTAACCAAGTAGATCGCACATAACACTCAAATCAACCGCACAAACAAATCTCAACACTACAGTGTGTTAATTCTAACTCATACCCTAATTCCAAACTTCGAATTCTAACAGCACATCCTTAACCAAGAACGATGTCGGGACTCGTAAAACAGTATTTCTTTGATTATAAATGTTCAAGAAGATGACTAAGCTGTATTCATATTGATTTGCATGCAGAACAACTTGTAAAAGACTTTAGTAAATTCATTTGTTATGTAAAATCTGTTTACTCTTGTTAATATTAGTATTCTCTTGTCCATAAACTTTCTCTACAAAGCTGTTTTCTGATTAGTTAATATTTGACTATAATTCGTCGTAGTTGTTCTAAGTGTCTTCATATTCTTTACAGTACTGACTTCGTCACTATATACTCATGATCGGAATAAATTGTCATTTTCTAAAAAAGAAAAAAAATGGTATACATCAAAAATAACGTTAAAAGTTAGCAGTTGAATTATACAGCATACCTTCGCTCATCTCAACACATGTGAACAACTGTGGATATTAGTTTGACTGCGAACATCTCGAAATATGGTTGAATCTAGGAAGCTCAAAGAATGTCGGAAAATTTGTATAAACCTGGCACCATAACGAAGCAACAATCAATAAACACATAGAAATCGACTAGATCTACCAGCTGGTAAGAGAAAGGACTAGCATCTGCAAGGTCAAAGTCGAAGTTTGGAAAGAAAACAACCAACAGAGTATTCATACAATGAACACACAGTTATGGATAAAAACTAGTCATATTCCAGGTCAACAGAACAAGCTGTTAATCAATTATGGGTAAATTCTCACATCTAACTTTCCTTTTAAGTAAGTGCTCATAGTATTGTCCCGAACAATAATAAAAATTTCATGGATAAACCATCCAGCTAATAGGCTTAAATGAAGCTTCGAATCAGCAATTTTCGCTTCAAACTTTGTAGTTCATTGGAAACGCATTTATATTTTAAGCGATTTAAACATCAGTAAGAAACACCTCCATCTAAGGAGGTTCCACTGTTCACCACAACTATTCTTTTCCAAAATGCTTTTTACTAAATAACTATGTCGAACGAATACATATACACGTCGATATGGACAAATTGAATGCCATCCTTGTAATAAACAATCAACAACAACAAAAAAAACCCACTTAAACTCTTAAATATACAAAAATTATTTTTTAGCAACAAATAAATAAATAAATCGAAAGGTATAACTAAGTACTAAGCTAAATACATTTTTAAATACAAAAAAAATTTCAATGGTTGAAATCATGAGTCAGTTAAAGCTAGACCACCATGGGAAATCTGGAAGCACTGGACGGCTGTTTCATCCTATTGTGGGACTCCTTAGCAGTGTACATCCACGATCCCTCCCCACCGCGAGATTTGAACCCAGAACCCAACAGTCTCGCGCGCGAGCGCTTAATCACTAGACCACTGAACCGGCATCCAACGATGTTAATGTCTAAATTCAACTAATCCACAAAATTGAGCGACACATCCACCATTGTTATCAGTGAGTTACTATCTCACAACAAACCTAGTTGAACAAAAAAATATCGAATATCAATTCCAAACTGTAATTAAAATAAATCACATGTATACAATAAAAACTTGAAATGAAATTGTCGGTTAAAAAAAAGACAATCATATATGATAATCAGAATAAATTTACGTAAAGTTGGATTAGTGAAATTATGGTAACAAAACATAATTATTAACCAAACGAATTACATAATCATAGATTATTTAATGATATAAATTAATTAATAGGTAGTAAAAATATATTGAACAAAAATCATTTCAGTTAATAAATGTGATCAAGTCAGGTAAATTGGAATTAATGAATCGATCGCATGAAATGTTTCATTCTATTTGGAACTTGTCAACGGATGATGTGCCTACATTCGCCATGGGACTTGAACCTGTGATGTGTGCTACTGATGTCGATAGATATAAGTAATATGTATCGTCGATCGAAAGTGAAATACCTGGTGGCAGAAGGTTAAGAAGATCTAAGAGAAGAGAACGAAGACAGAGAATGATTAGTGTGGAAACGAAGGAACAATGAAATCTGAGATGATTGACTGATATTTTGTAAATGAAGTATTTACTGTATGGTTCTCAGATTTTACTAAGATGTTCTGTAATTTTGTGTACAAATACATTCGATTGTCTCCACTTGTGTTCTCGTTCACTATGAACCTAGTAAAATTCACATCAAACACTCGACATGACATTTGATAATTAACTGAATTAATGAATTCAAAAAGTCTCTAACTTGTTTAACACATATAATTTTTGATGTGAATAGAGAATGAAGAAGTCATGACAAATAACGGAAGCTATTTGGGGGGATATTATATTACTTAATTCAAAGTTTGTAAAATACTAACATTGAGCCTAGATTATTTTGTAAACAGTACGCTTTCATTTGATGCATGATTTACTACCATACTCTTTTTTGTTCCAAAACTATTGTAATTTAAATGTAATCATTGGTACTTTATTTTTCTACCCTAATGCCCAGTTTAAGACACAATTGTATTTCCCTAATTGTTTATTCCCTGTGGCCATGTTAGTCATCTATCTATTCATGTATCTGTATACACTAATCTGAAGTGGAAATTAGGAATAAATCGAGTAGTGTTCCAGTTGACTCGTCTTCTCTCTCGCGGGCTTGTCAGCCAACCAGGTGAGAGAATAGTTTTCGTCTCTCTACTCAAGGTAGTTAGCCTTATTTGGGACTCACACATTTCTAGCTTCAAAATTGAACCAGTCAGTCTATTATATTAAGACCTTAACCTAGATCGAAGTGAGTTCTCTCCTAATTATTATTGGGTAGACAGATTAATGACGTAATCATTTTATACTAACAATAACAAGGATTTGGATTATTTCTCAGTTGATAGTCATGACTAAACTTTGATCAGCATTCATTGGCAGATGCGCTTCATATGTAGTTTGCCAGAGGGAAAATTACTTGATCCAAAGTTTCGCATGTAAAAAATTTTTGTTAAGATAGGTTAGTTGCTAATATTGAGATTTACAGTGTATGCTCTGTTATATTTGGGAGTCGTTAGCCGAATATACGTTTATCTCAGTGTTTAAAGTGTGAAGCACTTGGCTTAAGTCTCAGTTTAGACACTAAGATTTAGGAGTCCCATACCATAACGAAACGGCCGTCCAGTGCTTCCAGGTTTTCCGTGGTGGTCTAGCTTGGATTCAACTGTTAAAGTAACTGCAATCTCCGCAATACCTCCTTCTGATAAGAATATATATTCTTCTAGAAAACCTTATTCAAACTAGTTTTCCAAATGGAATAATTGGATCTCAATTACTTAGATTATATTCAACTACGATTCTTAGATTTAATGTCTTTTACAAACTTGATGCTTAATTTCAATCAAAATACTGGTTCAACTTCTGACGAAAGTTTCCAGAAACTGAAGACATTTTTATATTTATTGTAATGAGTATTATTCAAATTAAGTGGTTACATAAGTTTAAGGTTACTATTATACACTTAAATTGAGAGAGATAGAAGACGAAGAAGAAGAAGAAATAAACAAGTTTAATTTCGTTGTACACAGAGGAGAATATGTTACATATTGAATTTATCATTGTGATAATGTCTACACTCAGGAGCAAAAATAATACAACATTTTGATGAAGGTAGAATTTGTTGATAATTATACAATCCCATTTCCTTCAATTACACATATACACAAATATACTAAATAGAAATCATAGTAAACTTATTTATTCTATACTTATCCATAGTCGAAAAATATATAATATTGTATACAATAACTCAATGTATTCATAATTATCCCAATAATGTTTCATCATTACTGACTGAGCATTAATTAAATGTTTCATTCTTTATAAGTGATTTTGATCATCAACATCAGTACCATCAATGATGCGGTTGACGATGATGATGATGTCGACAATGATACTGTCACTTGATTAATAGAATTCTTTTTACTTATTAGTAGATTTTATATTTTATACTTTTAATAATGAAGTGTATTATTATAATATTGATAATTACAATTACTACTACTACTACTATTCATATTAGTAGTAGTTGTAGTTGTATTAATAGTAGTAGTAGTAATAGTATCAATCGTATTCTTCTCATTTTTATTCAAATCATATGATGTCATTAAATTAGTATAAACAGTTGGATAAAACAATTCATATGGAGTTGATATTTGTTGAAATATTGAATCAATACATGAATTATTGAATTCATTCACACGAATATGTTCATGAGAATATTGATTATCAATATTATTATCATTATTATTATTATTGTTATTATTATTATTATTATTATTATTACTATAAGGATACAAATTAGAAGAGTTCGATGTTACTTGAGATTGATTTATATTTAAATTTAATTGTTTCTTTAAATCATTTAAATAATGATAATTCATTATATTAGATGATATAGTTGATTGATAAGTTAAATTCATTGGATTATATTTATAATTTGTATTCATAATTAAATAATCATTTTTATTCATGATTGTATGATCATTATTACTATTATTATTACTACTTATATTAGTAGTATAATAATCTGAACTAAATATATCATTTTGTTTTCCTATATTATCAATTATTTGATGAAAATTATTTTTTTTAGATTTTTTTTGTTTTTTTTTATGATATTTTATTAAAATAATAAAAATTATTATAATTGATAATAGAATAATTAAACTAAATGAAATAATTAATATAATAATGATTTTTAATTCACTAAACCATAACCATGTTGATTGAGTATTGATTTCTAATTGACTTTTATTCATCCATTCATTGAAATAATAATTTGTTTTATTTTTTAATGAATTAATAGATAATTCTAATTTATTAATTGTTTGTATTGGTAATTGTATAAAAAAATAACCATCTGTATATAATTGTCTATGAATACCTTGATCTTGTACACGTACAAATGTATAATATTGATAAATTTCTTGTAATTTATCAATATATAATGTTAATTCACCATTAATTGTTAAATATAATGAATCTATTGGTAAATTTAATTTATTCTGACCAATAAATTGTTGATATTCATAATTTGGTTCAATAATATACATTTGTAATTTACCATTATCACCTAAATCATAATCATATGCTTTTAATTGTGATTTTAATTCAATTGGTGAATTTTGATTTATTTCCCATATTGGTTCAAGATGATAAATTTTAATTTCTTTATATGAATTTAATTGTATATAATTAGATTCAATTGTATGATACCATTTTGGTGCATTATCATTTATATCATTAATATATATTTTAATTGTTTCTATTGAAGTTAATTTAATTGGATAACCCATATCTTCAAGAATTATTTGTAAATAATAAACACTTATTTGTTCACGATCAATTAAATAATATTTATTTTTTGATAAACTAATTAAACCACTAGTTGAATCAATATGAAATATTGATTTTAGATAATCATTATTATTATTATTATATTGTTTTGTTTCATTTCGATTATCAATAGTTTTTTCAATAGTAATTTGTGCTAATCTATATATTATTGTACCATTTATACCATAATCTAAATCAATTGCATTTAAATAACCAATCATATATGAATTTGTTTGATTATTTTGATCATTTTCAATTTCATTATATTGATCCCATTCATATATTGTAAAACCATATAATAATAATTCATTATTTAATTTTGGTTCATTATCATTAATATCAGTAATATTAATAATCAATTCAGTATAAGCAATACGATTTTGTTTTAATAAATTATCATTTATTATATCATTAGCTATTAATATACATATAAAATATGATATTTTTTCTCGATCAATACCATTTGGTGCTGATAATTCACCAGTGTATTGATTTATTTCAAATTGATCACAACCTATTTTATATTTATCATTTTTAGGTTTTATTGTAAAATTTACTTGATTTATAATACCAATTAATTGTGGTTGTAATATATGTAATATTGATTGATTAGATTCTTCAATAATTAATTCATATGTCATTTGTTCAAAGCATAAATCAATATATCGATAATCTATGATTGTAATTATTAAATTTATTGATGTAGTTAAAAATGATGGACTACCATGATCTTTACATGTAATAATCATCATAAATGAAGTTAATTTTTGTGTAAAACTTGTTTCAGATTGATAATTTAGTGAGGTATTAATATATTGATCTCTAATTACTTGTAATGTATACAAATATTGACTAGATATTTGACCATTATTGATTAGATTAATTTTAAAATGTGAATACTTACTCCAATTATTATTAATATTATTATTATTATTATTATAGTCTTCGAGTTTTTGATTACAGGTTACTTGACCATTTTGTCCAAGATCTGCATCACTAACAACTATAAAACCTATATAACTACCAGATTCAATCTGATTTGATATTTTAATTTCATTTGATTCTATATTAAATTTATTACAACCAACTTTTTTAATTTGTATCTTTGGTGCATGATTATTAATATCAATAATATTAAATAGTATAGTTTTTGAAATTTTATGCATAGGTAAACCATTATCATTAACATGAACAATAATTTCAATTTGTTGTGTTTCATGAGCATGTAATATTTGATTTAAACGTATCTCTCCATTATTTGGATTAATTATAAATTGACTAAAAGAATTTGATTGATTATAAATATTATCATTATTTGAGTAGTCATTATTATTATGATTATTATTAATAAGATCATTATGATTGGTTTCCATAGTGATTAATTTTTTTCTAAATGAATTTTGTGTTAAACTATAAGTTAAACGTGAATTCTCACCACTATCTATATCAATTGCTTCAATTTTTAATAATAATGTTCCAATTGGTAAATTCTCTGATATATTTATTGAATAATAATTTTCTAATGGAAATATAAATTTTGGTATATTATCATTCATATCAATTATTGAAATTTTTATTGGTAATATTGCATAATCAATTGATGAATAACCAGATTCATATGCAATTAATTCTATAGAATAATATTGTTTCATCTCATAATCTAATTTATCTTTAATGATTAAACATGGGAAATTATCATCATTTCTTCCTTTGATTAATCTATCTTTAAATTGATTAGTATTATGATTATTATTATCATTATATTCATCAGTGGAACATGTTACTAAGCCAAAGACTTGATGATAATCAGTTTGATTATCATGTATAGGATAATTTAATTTATATAAAATGTTTGTATTTGTCTCGATTGTATCTAAATCATATGCTTTCATTAAAGGAATTTTTGTACCAATTGGAATATTCTCTTTTATTGTTACATTAAAGTAATCAAACCATTTTGATGAATTTAATTCAATAAATTTTGGACGATTATCATTAATATCTTCAATATAAATCATAATTGGAATCCAACGTTCATCAGTGGAGTTATTTAAACTTACAAATAAAATTAATTTAATTAAACAATCATAATGTGAAAGGTGTATTAGTCCATGATTTTTTGAATTAGTTATTGAAAGAGTTTTTGATGATGATAATGATGATGAAGAGGAAGTCAGCATAGAAGAGGTAGAATGAATTAGAGGTTTCGGACATATATGCTCATAATCGATACGATTTTGTGTAAATAAATCACCAGTTTGTTGGTCTAATTTAAAATATTCACTTGTTTCCTTAGAATTTAAATCATACGGGTTTAATTCAAACTTTCTTAATTGTTTAATTGAATGTAACGTTATTATTTCTGTTGTTAATGAAGATGAAGTGGTAAATTTGAATTTCTGATATAATTTTCTAAAATCATTAAATAAATTACCAACTAATGTACCACTTGGGAGCTCTTCTTGTATTCTATATGAAATAAACATTGTTTTATTATTCTCAAAATAACTTTCCATAGTTACATAACATAAAATTTCTAATACAATTATAAAAATAATGATATTAATTGTCCAAAAGTATTTATTCCAGTTGTAAGGCATTATTCATTACGTCATATTTAATATATTGTGACGTGTATATTCTAGTGTATATGTTATATGTAATTATGAAAATTGTTTATAAAGGTAATTAATCCTTTGTATTTATAAACAATAATTTATTCCATATTGTTATTATTATTATGGCCATTACCAAATATCTTTTTATTCACACATCTTAACAATATGATTTTAGCATGATTTCAAAATACTTTAATTTGATTGGATAAACACATTTGACAAATTAACCAATCACATGTTTTCCAGCTGATTAACAAATAATGACTATAAGTTATTATGAATAAACTTGTCTGTAAAGACAAAAAACAAACAAACAGGTGAGACTATCAAGTTTCGTTATTAATAAAAACTTGAATGGATTTATTTTTGTTTTTCTCAAAGAATTATTATTATTATTATTTCCTCACTTAGCCAGTTAGTTACATTGGAAAACAAAAAAAAAAGATTTTATTTCTTTTTGTTGTGAAAATTCGTTTAACTACTGTCAATTACATTTTGTATTCATAGGTAGATATTCAAAATATTCGTCTGAAATGTTTATAACTATTTTGTTTTTGTTTTTTTTTTTCGATGAGAGGAAAATATGAAATCAATCACAGATAGAATATTGGAATCTAATGTTTTTTAAATCAGTTTTCATAGTTTATTTGTATTTTTACTACAGGGGATTTGAAGTAATTATTGGTCTGTATAGTTTACATAATTGATTGATCTCATTTAGATTATCATCAAAAGTAAGGAAGTACATTATAGATGTTTCGTTGCAGTGTAGGGTTTTACACAAATGTATATCCACAATAGGATAGAGTTCGGAACATTGGACCTGAAGATTTCGTGATAACCCCTGGGGATTTGATCTATGCAATCACCATCAAATGATTCATATTTCTAATGATAAATAATTCACCATACTGATAAACCATCTATCAACTGGGAATTATCTCTATAACTTAGTTACTAAAGAGTGCATGATTATTTTGAATGTAATGAATTAGTGGAGGTTGTGAAATTTCATGGTTCACGTTGTAGAGGCAAATTTTCCCTATATCTGACTCTAATAAATGATATCCCGTTAACTAAATATTTAACGCTGGCTAAATCTAGTAGAGTTATCGATTTACTCGAGATTATTCAGAAGCCTGAACACCAGTTGTAGAGATATTTTATTGTTAAAGATTAATAAAATCCGTAAGCGTACAGCAAGCAAGCACATAGTGAAAACAAGAGTGTGTCAGTGTTAAAAATCCATATATATTAATGAGTGTTAATCAAGTGTGGATAAATTATTGATTGTGTGTATTACGACCAATGGGAGAATAGATTAAAAATTGACATGTGGTCAATCATACTCACACGAAAATTTACATAGTGGATTAAGTGTCTAAATTACAGTGAGTAGACAAATAATACATTAGTGGAATGGGCTTACTACAACGTCACCAATCATATTCACAACAAAGCGTGTAATATTTATTTCATTGCCTGTGAATAGTTCATTAGCTAAAATCAGTTTTTGGAACGAATTTCATTCTCATCAACCTATAATAGGTAGTATACTAATAAAGACTACTTTCAAACAACATGAAACACTCATCTTGATTCGGCTATGAGCTAGAATCCAACTTTGCTAAAAAAACGTTAACTAAATATCAATGCTTGGTCAGTCCACTCAGGATGTACATATGGTAATGTGAACCAATCACTTTTGACCTTTAATATGGAATACAGACTCTTTAACTAATGTTATTATTATTATTATTTATTATTTTAACACATAGATATCGGTACAAGGAGGCACCGAATACATATGCGCCACACAGATCTCATTTAATTTGTGTGAGGGCTGTGATACTGCTCGGGTGCCCAAACCGAAGCAGGTGGTTTTCTTAGGGGGCCACACCATCAGCCTTTGACCTGAAGATCTGATCCACAAGATAGTGTAGCATCGTAAGGAGATGCAGTTCTATGGTAGCCGGTGACCAACGATTGGTTCATACGCCATTTGTTCCATCAGGATACTGGAGCTCATGTGCGCCGTTGGTTTGGAATTCGGTTAAAGCGCCAGACATTCGCTTTTCGTCCTCTCATTTTCGTAAACAACACCCCCCCACGAGAAGGCAGTGAGTAGGACTTCCTTGGCAGAGGCTATATACGCGTGGCCATGTGAGAGTATTTCGAGAGGGAGAGCGGACTCGCCCCACTCACGGGCGTACCAGGGCATTTGAGGGCTTTAACTAATGTTAAGTTGTGTTCTAAAATCATCTGATCAGCGTTTATTTTGTGCACTATCGGATCAATGATGTGACTTCAACCATTTTATTTGTTTAGCTTTAGTCCTTGAAAATTTGTGCTCCCAGTCGAATTTTTCTACTGTCTACTTATTCTTCTCTCGTAAATTTAACGTATTCAAAAATGTTCACAAACAATTTATTACTAAGTCATATTTGTCTTTTTCTTTGTGAATTATGGAATTCAGTCGATCTATTTGTCATTGATCTAGAACTAATTTTTCAGGCCATACATCGCGCGTTTTATATTTTGCTGTTACGTTATTGAGTGTTTTCGGGAAGGTGGGAATTCTCGAACTTGAGTTTCTTGCTTTACGGCTTTTGTTCGCAAGTCTTACCTACAGTCTTAAAGGGTTTGCTGCTCACCGTGAGAATGACTTAGGCTAGGGTACTCCCATTACAACTTGATCAATAAAACCTAACCAGATCTAGAAATTAGACAGTTGTGATTGTGGTCACTATTTTCGTGGCTACCCAAAAGGCGCTATTGAAATAAATCAAACTCTGAAGCTTGATGGTGCTTATTCGAATCTATCAGGGATTATTCGTCTCATCAGCATTGAATACGCTTATTCCTGACAAATGAAAACCAGTATAAGACTACATTCAGGGTTTCCTTCTGACTACTTCCATCCATTTAACGGCCAAGAATACTATTGATCAATTAATAAGTAGATCCACGTTCATTTTTAACCATATGATAATATTATTTGATGCAATGGCAACGAAATCTTCATAGTCAATTCATTCAACTTAAACTATAAATCTTCGTTCACTGATTCAAAAGCCATACCTTACGTGAAATCGTTGTGTGTGGATTCTTTAAATGGCTAACCGAAGTTTAAAATGAATTTTCTTTCTAAATCTGTTATACACATAGACATGATGTAAATGATACATACATGTATCCATACATACTCGCATATATGTTGGTTCTTTCGGTCTTCTCAGTGATGTGTAGGACTATAACTGATCACTTTTTTTATTAAATTTGTATCCTGTACCAACTGAATCCATATCCCCATAAAGTCACAACCATTTTAAGCAGAGATGGGTGATAACTAATAGTGAAATCCAGATTTCACAGTAACCTAAACAACTAGTATATGTGAATATAACCATATCCCATTACACTTTCCAGTGATTAATCGGACTCAAATGCTAGATGGATAACGTGATGACATTTCGAAGCGAACATTACTGGGTTTAAGCTCAGGAGTGAACATCAAATCTAGGATGTAGCTACATCCAAATGATGAGTCTCAAACAGGACAAAACACTCGTCCTGAATTTCATTGCCAGCCACCATCCATTTCTGTTTAAAATAATAGTAGTATCTATTATATTAGAAGATATATGAAGAGTTTACTGAATTGATGACCTGAATACTTCAAATTATAAAACGAATCGCTGAAGTAAGAAAAACATGATAGATTATAATTTTATTTTTCTATAATTCTAATTGAGGGCTGATTTAAAATTTGTGATAACCAAATGGCGAATTGATATGTCTGTTTACTTTCGGCGATCTTTATGAATTGATCATTCGATAATAACTAAATATTACGTTTGTCTATGACTTCAATACTGGTTATATCCCATCGATCAAGTTGTAAGTATAACCATTCTAATCTGAGTAAACTGGGATTACGAATGTGACTTGATCTATACCGAATAACTGAAAGCAGTAAATAAGAAGATAATATTAAAATTGAGATTTTATGCTAGTCAGAATTTGTTAGGAAAGAATATTTGCATTCTTCAGAGAGTTAATGCTAATGTGTAAATTAACAGTAGGCATCAATGCATGTTCCAACTAGAATGTACATAGCTCGACTGAGGGTCATTTACAATCAAATATATTCAATTGAAATGACTTTTTCTATGAAATTGAGTAATGTCGGATCAATTCATATGGATAAAACCTGTCCCCTAAAGTCCTATTCATATAATCTTTCAAGTAATTAGTTGAGTCATCTTAAGATGGAATTATGGGCTATTGTATATGAACTCAAGAAATTAAATGTTAGCCATTTCCTTCCATTCAACCGCAAAATACTTCGGATCCGTTGGCCAGACACTATCAACAACAACCTACTGTAGGAGAGAACAAACCAGATACCAGTGGAGGAATAAATCAGGAAGAAACGCTGGAAGTGGATAGGACACACATTGAGAAAAGCAGTCAACTGCGTCACAAGTCAAGCCGTCACATGGAATCGTCAAGGCCAAAAGAGAAGAGGAAGACCAAAGAACACATTACACTTAAAAGGGGAAACAGACATGAAAAAAATGAACAACAATTGAATAGAAATAGAAAGGAAGGCCAAGGACTCAGTGGGTTGAAGAATATTGATCGGTGGCCTATGACCCATTGGGAGTAACAGGCGTAGGTAAGTAAGTAAGTATTTCCTTCCATATCTGATGTTCTTTGATTCTATTCCAAGGCAAATCGTCTCAGTGTACTACACGAATTTCCTGAATTAAGATCCAACAACTCTTGAGTTTTTCATAACTTTCAATAGTTTTTCAATTAATTAATTGATTTGTTCATTAAATACCAAACCGAAAAGAATCAAACTTACTAGTTTCTATTCAGTGTTATATTTC